CCAACCCCCCCCCCCCAAAAAAATTGTTTGAAGTCTGCTGGGTTTCAGAGCTAATTATGGGCACAATGCACTGATAAATTTTTTATTTTCTTTGGATATTCCCACTTCCAAATCATTGTCCTGTGTCACTGGATTTACATCCTAGGGGAGAATGTTCTTCACGTCCGGGATGCTGACACCCAAGACAAAATATTGCAAGCGCTGCACCTTCAGTTTGGTAAACAGTATCCTTGGTGAGCACATAGCCTTTTTTTTTTTTTTTTTGAGTGATTTAAAAGGAGTTACCCCAGGTGCCATTTGAAAGAGGCAATCACTGTTGAATCACACTAACAGATCTTTTCTTCTAATTCCTGTGGGTCCCTTGGTAAGTCAGGGCTTGCCAATACCATACCTCTTATTACTCTACCAAGGGTTCCAATGTAGAATATATACATTTTTTGTCTCTGTTAATTAATATAACACTTTTTCTAGGAAATACTTCTTTAGCCTAATTTGACTTTCTGTAGTATTAGAAAGTAATGTAACTGAATAAAAAGAAAAAATAGTTCAGTATTTATTTTTGACCACCTCCTTTCTATTTCAAATTGATCAGACTTTCCTGTACTTTGAAAGTATTATTCTGAAAATAATTTTGTTTTCTCAGAAATGTAAAGATAAAAATGAAAAAAAAAACCAATTGCAGTTACTTTAGTTATTATGTTGCTGAAAAGATCTAGATTTTGAGAAATGTTTTTAGTTCTATATAATGATTTATAATTTTTAATTGACAATAAAATTGTATGTATCTATTGTGTCCTACATGTTTTGAAGTATATATACATTGTAAAGATGTTGTTGTTTTAAAAGGAAGATGCATGAATTATTTCCACCTGCATTTTCAGTCCTCTAAACCATATCCTCACTACTATTTAACACGAATGACAGAAGCATGTAATTTAATTGACTTTATGGATATTGCAGTTCAAAGATATATGGGGATGGAAATGCTGTTCCAAGGATTTTGAAGTTTCTCAAATCTATTGATCTTCAAGAGCCACTACAAAAGAAATTCTGCTTTCCTCCCGTAAAGGAGAATATTTCTCAAGATATTGACCATATTCTAGAAACTCTAAGTGCCTTGGCTGTTGATCTCGGCGGGACAAACCTCCGAGTTGCCATAGTCAGCATGAAGGTAAAATAACTCCTAATCTCTTGACTTTATATCCCATGTGAATGATTGATTTTTTTTAAAGTATAGTTGGAAGGTAGGACTAGAAACATACACAAGAGCTTGTAATCATTTGCCCATAGTACTGACTTTTGGATCTATTACAATGTTTGTCTTACTACTTTACTAATCATTAACATTTCAAAGAAGTAAATCCTCGGGGAATCCAAGGTAGTAGACTTGAGTTGACAATAGGGAGCACCCTTTAGACATCGGGGGAGCCTTTTGCCATTCAGGAGACCTGAAATTCTATTCTTGGGAACAGCTTGGAGTGTGCTGATGACAATCACTGCTCCGTGAGGGGAACTGCCTCTTCTCTAGAACACGATCAGTTGTGTGGGTTCTCTGCTGTGCATTTTTACAGTTCTGTTCTTTATTGAGTACAGCGTACCTTCAATTAACCAAACCATCCTCCAGTGTTGATAAGTTGAGAGAGCCCTTGTAAAGACTCCATGTTAAAAAAATCTCTTCTGATTTAGGAAGAATAAACCTACTAGAAAAATCTTTGTTTTAAATATTATAAATGCTGGTCAAGCATGGTGGCTCAAACCTGTAGTCCCACCACTTTGGGGGACTGAGGCAAGAGGATTGCCTGAGACCAGGGGTTCGAGACGAGCCTGGGCAACTTGGTGTGACCTCGTCTCTACAATAAGTCAAAACGTTAGCCAGGTGTGGTGGCGTGTGCCTATAGTTCCAGCTACTGGAAGATTGAGGTTGGAAGGATCACCTGAGCCCAGCAAGTTGAGGCTACAGTGGCTATGAACATGCCGCTGCACTCCAGCCTGGGCAACAGAATGAGACTCCAACTAAAAAAAACCAAAACAAAACAAAATAAGAAATATTATAAATATATAAACTTTCAGGAGTCCATGAGAAATAGCAAAGGTTTTATTTAATTTTTTAATTTTTTGAGTTGGAGTCTTACTCTGTTGCCCAGGCTGGAGTGAAGTGGCACACTCACGGACACCCCAGCATCTACCTGCTAGGCTCAAGCAATCCTTCTGCATCAGCTTTCCAAGTAGCAGGAACCATAGGCATGCATCACCATGTCCAGCTAATTTTTTGATTTACTATAGAGACGAGGTCTTGCCAAATTGCCCAGGCTGGTCTTGAACCCCTGGGCACCCAGGCAATCCTCTTGCCTCTACCTCCCAAAGTGCTGGGAATATAGGCATGAGCCACCATGCCCAGCTAGCAAAGATTTTAAACACAAAGTTTTAGGAAATTTGTTAATACCATTAGGTCAAATAAGGAAAAGCAAAACAAAACATAATTTTCTCAAGAAAAGTCAAGAGCCCTTACTTATTCTTTAAAAAGTACTAATAGAAGAATATTTTATTAACATAAAGTTGATTTATTTCATATCACTGGCTAACTTTTTAAAAATTTATTTTTATTTATTTTAAGGATGTGGGGTACACTTCAGGATTAGGTATACAAGTGGTCATTATATAGGTAAATTTTGGCCTTCCCTTTGGTCCCTACTTTGCTTGGTTTGAGATCAGGTATCCTTATTAACGTTGTGTGCCCCACCCCCACCTCCCTGCAGTTTCCTGCTACTGCCAATCCTTTTCTTATAGTATTATGTAAATGTTCAGGGTCCTCCTGACAACTTTTTTAAGGATGAAATTCTAGAGACATTCCTATTGAAATCAAGAAGAAAATAAGGATGTTTTCTGCAACATTATCTTTTTTTTGAGTTGGAGTCTTACTCTGTCGCCCAGACTGGAGTGCAGTGGCTGCTCCCGGCCAACGCAGCCTCGACCTGCTGGGCTCCGGCGATCCTTCTGCCTCAGCCTTCCAAGTAGCTGGAACTACAGGCGCGCACTATCACGCCCGGCTAATTTTTTTTTGATTTATTGTAGAGATGAGGTCTCGCCTGCCCAGGTGGGTCTCGAACCCGCGGGCTCAGGCAATTCACTCACTTCAGCCTCTCAAAGGCGAGGGATTACAGGCTGAGCCACCGAGCCCGGCTAACATTATCTAACAATTTTGGAATTTATGAAGGGAATAAAGCAAAGAAGAGCAAAACCAGATATTGTTGATAGAGCAAAATTAAAAATATTATTTATAGACAATATGAATAAATTATCTAGCTTGCTGAGTTAACAAGACACTTGAGTAAAGTGGCTGGATCTTTGATAAATATATAAGTATCAGTAATTTTCTACTTAACATGAAATTGTAGGCAACAAATTGAGTTTTCCTTGAGGTGAGTGTCAACCCTGCCTGCATATTAGCATTACCTGGAGTCTTAAAAAAAAAATTCAAATGTCTGGCTCCTACCCAAGACTGATTAAATTAGAATATCTGGGACAGGGGCCAAGCATCAATATTTGTTAAAAGTTGTCCAGGTGATTCTGATACACAGTAACGGTGAGAAGCAGTACTCTAGGTTATTTATTATTTTTTCATTTATTATTCTATGTATTTTTTTGAGTCAAGGTCTTATTCTGTCACTGCAGCTTTGACCTCCCGGGCTCACGTAGTCCTTCCACATCAGCCTCTCAATTACCTGGGACTATAGGTACATGCTATCATGCCCAGATAATTTTTTGATTTTTTTGTAGAGAAAAGGTCTTGCTATGTTGCCCAGGCTGGCTTCAAACTCCTGGGTTCAAACAATCCTTCTGCCTCAGCCTCCAAAGTGCTGGGATTACAGGTGTGAGCCACTATACCAGGCTATTTTTTTTTTTTTAATTAAAAAAAATTTCTTTTAGAGGTGAGGTCTTGCTATGTTGCCCAGGTGGATGTGAATTGTTGAACTCAAGTGATCCTCCCACCTCAGCCTCCCTACCACTTGGGACTACAGGCATGTGTCACCATGCCCAGCTCTAGATTTATTTTTAATGGCAGTCCTTAGTGGCAGCTTTAACCCTTGTATTTGCTATCAATTAATAACAAAATAATATAAATGGAAAAAGAGATCCTATTTAGAACAACAACAGAACTCCTAAGAATAATCAAAAACAGAAAACTATGTGATCTACATAAAGAAAATTATAAAACTTTACTTTAAAATACAAAGGCTTAAAAAAATGTCATGGGATCAGCCGTAGTAGCTCTCCCATAATCATGAAGGTGGGAGGGCTGCTTGAGGCCAGGAGTAAGTGACCAGCCTAGGCAACATAGTGAGATCCCATTGCTACAAAAAAAAAAGTGCTGAAAAGATGTGCTGAGTATTTGTTAACTATCAGTGCTTTCCAAATTGGATTATAAGTTTAATATAATTCTAGTCAATATTTCAATAGTATTTGTAAGCTTAATAAGATTAACATAAATCACAGTGGAATTTTTAAAAGTTTAACAACATTATCTTGACATATACTTAAAATAGTACACAAGTGAGATGCACAAATAAAAATATGTAAAAACAAGAGTAATTAGGTGGGACTACCCCTGCTTGGTATTAAGACATATCACAAAGAACAGTAATTTAAACAATGTGGTATTTGTGCCAGCCGGTATAGAAATATACTCTGAGTAAATAGAGTATCCATACCATCACTGGATTCAGTTACAGGAGATGATTAAAGCTCAACTACTTAGGGTAACTATTTAGTTGCCTCAGTATTTAAACAAAATGTTATCAACCTGAAAGAGTAAAATATGACCTTTTAATGAACTAGACTCAGATTAGCCAACATTCATCTGAAGCTTAAGAAAGGGGCCCCATCTTGTTGGCTGTGGAGTTGTCATTGCTTCAGTGGTCCTATACCAGGACAGATTACCAGGAAGCTACTGGGCTTGTCCCAGTGCCTGTCCAGGCCAAGCAGTCACCTGAGACTGGAGTACTGTCCTACAGCCATGCCTGATTTATCATGGAAAAGGTCACAAGATCCACAGTACTTCTTAGCTAAAACCAGTGAGACAAAGCTTGCTTTTTTCTCTTCTAGGGTGAAATAGTTAAGAAGTATACTCAATTCAATCCTAAAACCTATGAAGAGAGGATTAATTTAATCCTACAGATGTGTGTGGAAGCTGCAGCTGAAGCTGTAAAACTGAACTGCAGGATTTTGGGAGTAGGTAAGATTGTAAATTATGTATTCAAGAAATATTCTTTTTAGTGTAGTTTACTCAGTTCTAATGCATGACTGAACATCAGGTCAGTGTTTGCCCAGTGATGGCTCCAAGTCCTGTCTGTGGGCTCCAAGCCTGGAGACTTCCCGGGACACCAACAGGCATTATGGGAGAAGCATTGACTGTTCTATAAATATGTGAGGAGCTATAGCTTTGGCTCAGAACTGCCTGAGATTTCCTTGCAGTCCTTGGTAGTGTTTATCTTAGACGATCTTGGGTGAATGAATTTGTGTTCAGAGCCAAGAAAGTTGGCTTGCTCTTCTAAGATTACTCATCAGAATTATTTTCCTTCTGTTTATGGTGGAGCTCAGGCATTTCCACAGGTGGCCGTGTGAATCCTCGGGAAGGAATTGTGCTGCATTCAACCAAACTGATCCAAGAGTGGAACTCTGTGGACCTCAGGACTCCCCTATCTGACACTTTGCATCTCCCTGTGTGGGTAGACAATGATGGCAACTGTGCTGCCCTGGCAGAAAGAAAATTTGGTCAAGGAAAGGGACTGGAAAACTTCGTTACACTTGTCACAGGCACAGGTAAGAGAGGTAAAGGAATGTTGCTTAAGGAGCTAGAATGTGTGTTGGGGCAAGTCTTCAGCATGCAATCAGGCAGTCACAACTCTGCCTTAGCCTTCACTTGCTGCTTGAGGAGCGCCTTAAGGTGAGCCACACATGAGTTCTTAGGGCTTTCTCAGGTTTTTTCTGAGCATGTGCCTAGCCCTAGATATGTATGTGGCCATCTAAAATTCCCAGAACTTGTCAGAGCTGTTCTAAGCTTATTCCCCAAAGCTTCTCATCACCCAGCTTTTCTTTCCAGTCTTTTTAGTAGTCTATTGTATGCCCCATCTGTTACCTTTTGCTCTAGGAAGTAGAAAATAACACATTTTACCTTTAAATATTTTTGACAAACACCTGCTGTGCAACCCCCTCAGCACTGGGATAGTTCCCAGTTAGGTGAGATAATAGCAAGCCCTGTGAATTGGTCCTCCAGGGAGCTACCAGGAGGTCAAAACAAGCAACCACAGCTTTTTAAGAACAGGTTTGTCCTGCTCCCTCAGGTGCTGCTATCCAGTACTGGTATCTGTACACCATTACTGGGAGTGTGGGCTATTGTTCAGAGTCACCACCAAGCTGGGAAGGGGTGATGGGACCAGGATGAGTTCATACCAGAAAGCTCTCTTAGTGTGATTCAGCTGGTTTCATTTTTTTTTTTTTTTTTTGAGTTGGAGTCTCACTCTGTCGCCCAGACTGGAGTACAGTGGCCGCTCCCGGTTACCGCAGCCTCGACCTGCTGGGCTCCGGCGATTCTTCCGCTTCAGTCTTCCAAATAACCGGAATCACAGGCATGTGCTACCACACCTGGCTGATTTTTTTATTTATTGTAGAGATGAGGTCTCGCTGCCCAGGTGGGTCTCGAACCCGCGGGCTCAGGAAATCCACTCACCTCAGCCTCCCAAAGCACGGGATTACAGGCTGAGCCACCGAGCCCGGCTGGTTTCATTTTTTTTATGTGTTTTTACTAAGCATTCCCCTGGTTGCTACAAACTTTTGGTTAGTTTCCAGAGTTCAAAAAAAGGGGATTCTGACAGTTTTGCCAGTTGCTCTAATGGCAGGGTGGCCTTTGGGAGTTCCCCACTCTTGTCATTTTCACTGATGTCCCGGTTTGCTTTTTATTGTATATATTTAAAGTGTATTATTTATTTATAATTTTTGAGTTGGAGTCTCACTCTGTCACCCAGGCTGGTTGGAGTACAGGAGCTACTCACGGCCACCACAGCCTTGACCTGCTGGGCTCAGGCGATCCTTCTTCCTCCTTTCCAAGTAGCTGGAACCACAGGCATTTGTCACCATGTCCGGCTAATTTTTTATTTTTTTATTGTAGAGATGAAGTCTCGCCATGTTGCCCAGACTGGTCTCTAACCCATGGGTTCAGGCAATCCTCTCGCCTCCACCTCCCAAAGTGCTAGGGTTACAGGCGTGAGCCACCATGCCCAGCCTAATATAATTTATTTTTTAAATGAGGAAACAGATTCTGCTAGTAAGTGGTTGAGCCAGTATTTGATCTCAGATATGTTTAACTTTAAAACTTGTGTGTGCTTAAACTGTACCTTACACGACCTCTCCCCTAAGCACATGTACTTTAGCTTAGACACTTCCTCTCTTAGTTCTGGATACAGTTTTAGCAAGCTTAGATGCCATTCCCTGCTTGGAGCAGCTAATAATGCTGCAAATCAGAGGAGTGGGAGTTGAGAAATAGGTGTCACAAGAAGTGACAGTTGGCAGGACAACTCTTTGCTTTGAGTCAGAGTCTTACTCTGTTGCCCAAGCTGGAGTGCAGTGGCACGCTCATGACCACCATAGCCTCAGCCTGCTGGCCTCAGGCAATCCTTCCTACTAACTGAGTATAGTTCCAGGTACTCAGCCTTCCAAGTACCTGGAACTATAGGCACATGCCACCATGCCCAGCTAATTTTTTGATTTATTGTATAAATGAGGTCTCACTAAGTTCCCCAGGCTGGAGGACAACTCTTAAAAGCAGAGCCTTCTAAGGCAAAATACTCTTTACTCCTTAGAAACTCTTAGACTATATGACAAAAGATACTCAATGATGTTCATAATTATTGAGTTTCAGACATGGTGGCCTCAAGAAGAGGCAAAATCATGTTTCATATTCTCTGCTTCAGAAAGCAGGTGGTATGTGATACATTTTAGAAAGGTTATCTTATCTTGGGTTTCCCTCAAGACAGAGTCTCTGAGAGAAGGATTTAGGGATAGATGATGATGATGATGATGATGATTTTGGAGGTCATCCTGAGTAACAGAAGGAGGGAGGGAGCAGAGTAAAACAGTAGGAAGAAAGCCATGAAAGGATAGTGTATTGAAGTTGCCTAGAGGGCAGGGGCCTGGCAGAAACCTACCAGAACTGCCAGGAAGCCAGCAGAAAACTGCTCAGAATCATCTGCGTGGACCTGCTAGCTCTTGCCTAGCCTTGTTGAGGGTTGCCTCTGGGTGCTGTGCCCGCATGGCTCACTGGGCTTTTGCTTCAGTGCTGGAGAAGGCCTCGGTGCAAGTCAGGCAGTGTGTGCTTGGGGGGTGCACTGTCAACACAAGGCAAGTCTGAGCTGGCATTGCACTGTCCACCCCAGCTGTATTTAAAGTCATAGAGACCCAAGCAGGTGTCACACAGGTCATCATAGTATCTGCTAAAAATATTTCCATCCAGGCCAGGTGCAGTGGCTCAAGCCTGTAATCCCATTACTTTGGGAGGCCGAGGCAAGAGAATTGCCTGACCCCAGAGGTTCAAGACCAGCCTGGAAAACATGGCAAGACCACGTCTCTACAATAAATCAAAAAATTAGCTGGGCATGGTAGTGCATGCATGTAGTTCCAACTACTTGGAAGGCTGAGGCGGAAGGATCGCCTGAGCCCCGCAGGTCGATGCTGGGGTGGCTGTGAGTGTGCCACTGCACACCAACCTGGGCGACAAAGTGAGACTCCAACTCAAAAAATGAAGGAAACTAGGGCGTAGGCTGACACGGTCCTTATGTTCTTGGCTTGTTTTCAAGGAAACAAGCCTATACTCCCTCATCTCGGAGCAGATGTGATGTGGGGAGCAGACAAGCACTGCCACTGTAGTAGGCCTTGAGTACCCCAGGCTCGTAGGCAACTGTCTCACCTGGAAGCTCTGCATTCTAGCCAAAGGCAGGTGAGGGATGCAGCCTGCTACACAAAACGTTGCGTCGCGGGCCTTGAGTACCCCAAGCTCGTAGGCAAGGTCTTACTTGGAAACTGCATCCTAGCCAGAGGCAACTGTGAGGAATGCAGGCTGTTACAGGAAACAGTGTCTTGAATGCCCATACATCTGGGTACACATAATACAGATAAAGTCTTAGCTACAATAAAGCTCTAGGTACAAGAAGATAAACACAAACACAGACCAGCTCGCCTTCCAGTAGCAACATAATTCCACCGTGGCTCCCTCACAGACCTTGATTTGTTACTTTATAATAAGGCAGAGCAGCGTGATATCAGTCACGCCTGGCCCGGATGTTGATGCTGCTTGTTTTTACAACAGTCCCTTGCATAGTTTTGCCCTTTATAAGAGGCATGCTAAACAATAAACTTGCTCTCACCTGTTGAGAAGAGAGACTTCCCAACCCTGCTGTCGCTTGTCTTTCTTTCTCATTCCCTCCCCCCAACTCAGGCCCTGCTCACTGGAGGCTGGACCTCTTAAAAAAAAAAAAAAATTTCCATTCAAAATGCTGCCAAAGAAAGTTTTGGTGCTTAGTGAGCTTCATCTATTAGAAAAGTAGGCATTATGTAGAATCTCGCATTCCAAAGCTTTGCTAAACAGATGAGGCATTGCCTTGTCATAGTTTTCTGTTTCAAGTAAAGAGCCCTCAGTGATCTCTGTCTCTCACTGTAGGAATTGGTGGTGGAATCATCCATCAACATGAATTGATCCACGGAAGCTCCTTCTGTGCTGCAGAACTTGGCCACCTTGTTGTGTCTCTGGATGGGCCTGACTGTTCCTGTGGAAGCCATGGGTGTATTGAAGCATATGCCTCTGGAATGGCCTTGCAGAGAGAAGCAAAAAAGCTGCACGACGGTTGGTACCTTTCTCTCGAGGATTAGCCAGGTGGTAGACAAGTGCTTCAGAGCAGAAATTCCAAAGAAAGCTGAACACTGAAGCCAGACTTTTAACTTTTTCACTTCTCAGAGGAAGAGCAGGCTCCCTCCTGAAGTTCCACAGTGTCCTTGGACTTGACCCGCACTGACTGTCTTCCTCTCCAGGGTTGGAGGTGGACAGGGGTCTGGAGTTCCAAGATAGCAGGGAAGGTTTCTTATTTTGTAAGCACAGGATAGGTACTTAGTATACATTTTAATGGAGAGACAAATGGATGAACATGTTATAATACTTGAACTCTAAGAGACCTACTTGAATTAAAGCTGTTTCTGGACATGAGAGTCAGAATGGTTTCCAGTCTAATGCAAGAGAGAGTCATTTACTATCATTTTTTTTTTCTTTTTGAGTTGGAGTCTCACTCTGTCGCCCAGACTGGAGTGCAGTGGCTGCTCCCAGCCACCGCAGCCTCGACCTGCTGGGCTCCGGCGATCCTTCCGCCTCAGCCTTCCAAGTAGCTGGAACTACAGGCGCGCGCTACCACACCCGGCTAATTTTTGATTTATTGTAGAGATGAGTTCTTGCCAAGTTGCCCAGGTGGGTCTCGAACCCGCAGGCTCAGGCAATTCATTCACCTCAGCCTCCCAAGGCGCGGGATTACAGGCTGAGCCACCGAGCCCGGCCTTAATATCATTTTAATTCAGTGTCCCAAGTGCAGTGAGAAATGATGGCCAAGGAATGCAGGTACTTAAGAGGAAACCAAAGTTCATTCTCTGTTCTCTCTATGCAGGGCGGGAGTGCTGGGGGTTGAAGAGTCAGGATAAGGGAATTAGCCACGCAAGTATGGATGGCCAAGAGAGCTTCTAGGCCTAGAAACAGTGGTGTTGATGCCTAAGGGCATGGCACAGCAAGAGAAAGCCCAGACAGTGAGGAATGAAGCCACTGAAACAACTTTAGGGAAAAGACACTATCAGAGCTGAGTTTGTGATTCTTCACTCAACTGTATCTTTGTTTCTGGGGGAAAATGGTGGTCGAATGGACGATGGCTTTAAGTGGGACAGTGCTGGAGTGACTTCCAGTTTTCTGGACAACTTGGAGTTGGGAAAATAAGAGGAGGAGGGCCCAGGAAAGACAGGAGACCAGCTGGTATCTAGTTGGGGATTTTCTTCCTTCAGGCCCAAGAATAGTAGCTGATCAGGAGGCAGATTGATCTGGGTTGATGACTGGAAGAAGGCAAGGACTACAGACAATCACTATTGTTTATTTAGAGTTTATTCTGGTGAGCACTTAGAACTAAGCACAGTAAGAGCCTTACATATGAACCTTCAAGTTGCAAACTTTCAAAGAAGCAAACGTGTGTTTGCATGTCCAGCCATGTTAGTTCACACATCTGGCACATGCTGTCATGTGCATGCATCTTCTACATGTAGTTGTGCTTTTGTGTACTTTACTGTACAGTATTGTATAGAATACAATAGTACGGTATCTTTATTTCAAGCTCAGGCTGTCTGGAAGCAAGCGTAAAAGTAATTGATTCTATCAGTTGGGTACCTAGGTAGGCTAACTTTGTTGGACTTACGAATGTGCTCTCGGAACAGAATTCATTCATATGAAGGAGACTTACTGTACTTTATGCCCATTATCTCATTTAATCCTTAAGATAATCCTGCAGGGGTAGGTATTGTACCTTTATCTTCTAGGAAAGAGAGACATAGAGAGGTGAAGGGACATGCGTGCAGTTGTGTGGCCGGGAGTGGCAAAGATGGAACTGACCCCAGGCCTGTGTCTGTCCTCTGCCACGATGCCTCCGTCATGGGATGTGGGGCACTGGCAAGTAGCACAGCCTTGCATTTTGGACAGATAAGGAAGGGGGTGACTGCAGGAGTAGGCTGAGCATTTGGGAAAACAATGTTTCAAGGACTTTATCGGCTACTGGGAGTGAGATGTGAGGAACCAGCAGGGAGCAGGGGGGTCAGGCTCAAGGGTCGTCCAGGTAGGGAGGTTCTTGATTAGGTACAACCAGGTAGCAAGAGGGCAAAGGCTTTGGGGGCAATGTATGTGGATGTTCTTGAAGGATAAGAAACTTTGCAACTGTGAAAAGAAAACAGTCTTCCCACTTAGGGGTGGCAAGCCCCATCAGGCCCAGTGGTAAGCCTGGTCCCCCCAGGGCTATCACAACTCACTGGCTGCTTCCGCCCCTCACTCCACTCCAACAGAGGACCTGCTCTTAGTGGAAGGGATGTCGGTGCCAAAAGACGAGGCCGTGAGCGCCCTCCATCTCATCCAAGCTGCGAAACTTGGCAATGCGAAGGCGCAGAGCATCTTAAGAACAGGTGAGCACGTGGCTCTGGGTGGCTGTGCTGCAGGGGTGGCCTCATGTTCTTGGGCCCTCCAAAAGACCCTGCTTCCTTCAGGAACCAGTGCTCTGCAGTGTCTGTTCAGAGGGTTTTTTTCCTACTTACTGAGAAAGAAAAAGGAAATTCCATTCAAGGTATTTGGCAGCACTGCCTTTTTAAACGGGTGTTTGGTTTTACAACTGTGAAAATACTTGTTCATTTTATGGGAAATTTAGAGAACTATAGGAGAGCTGTCAGAAAAATACGACTTAGAGTTTTCCTGTTCAGAGATAGCAGCTAGTAACATTTTCTATTCATTTTTGCACATAGTTGAGCTCACGTATTACAGTATAATTTTATAGCCTACTTTTTCACTCTGTGAACAGCTTTTAAACTACTGCTTCCCACCACACAGTGTGAATGGATTTCACCACTTCTGGCCGCTGGCTCTTTGGTGGTTTTGATTTCATGCTCTTTGCTTGGAAACTTACTTTACTTTTCATTTTCCTGTAGCTGGAACAGCTTTGGGTCTTGGGGTTGTGAACATCCTCCACACGATGAATCCTTCCCTGGTGATCCTCTCTGGCGTCCTGGCCAGTCACTACATCCACATTGTCAAAGACGTCATCCGCCAGCAGGCCTTGTCCTCGGTGCAGGACGTGGACGTGGTGGTTTCGGACTTGGTTGACCCTGCCCTGCTCGGTGCTGCCAGCATGGTTCTGGACTATACAACTCGCAGGATCTACTAGGCCTCCAGAACAGATGTGGACCAAGACTCTAGAGCTCCTGAGTACAATCCAGTTCTTGTCTTCCAGATGACCATTTCTTCAGAAGCAAACTTAGTGACTTCGGCAGAGAAGTGTTTTTGCTTTTTGTCTCTTCTTCCAGAGTCACCATTCCCAACCCCCATTTTTGTGGACGCTACCTTTTCTGATGTCTTCCTAGTAGGGGTCATTTTAGCTCAAACCCTGTAAGTTCAGTCAATTTTCTGTACCAAAGGAGGTACAGTAATAGTCAGGGAAGCCTTAGGACTCTGCCCCGTACTACGCCACTTAGACCTGCAGGCCTTGCTTGGGATACGAGCTTCATCCTAGAGTTTGGATTTATAATCCTTCCTCTAACCCAAAACTCAGATCACAGAAAGGGATCGTTAGAGAACAGAAAGAATTCTTAACCAGGAAAGGCTAAAGTACACTTTTTTTTTACAGTTTTATTGAGGTATTTTTAAAATATGCTTTTTGATAAGCTTTGACATATGTATCTCTCTGTGAAAACATCACAACTGAGATACTGAACATATCTGTCACCCCCAAGTGTCATTTGTTGAAAGATGTTATTGGCCGGGCATGGTGGCTCATGCCTGTGATCCCAGCACTTTGGGAGGCGGAGGAGAGAGGATTGCCTGTGCCCACGGGTTCAAGACCAGCCTGGGTAACTTGGTGAGACCTCATCTCTACAATAAATCAAAAAATTAGCCGGGCATGGTGGCGCATGCCTGTAGTTCCAGCTACTTGGAAGGCTGAGGTGGAAGGATCGCCTGGGCCCAGCAGGTTGAGGATGTGGTGACAGTGAGTGTGCCACTGCACCCCAGTTTGGGTGATAGAGTGAGACTCCAACTCAAAAAAAGATTTTATTCCTCTAGCAGAACTTCTAAGACTTTAGATCAGGGATCTGAATTATAATGGCCTTAGTGACCTTGTTCTTATCTTCTTAGGGATAGCTGAGAAGCCACTTACAGCCTCTGAAAGGAGATTAACTGTCCCAAAAGGATCTTTGCTGCTGACCAGCAGACACTTCTCCCTTCCACAGCTTTTTACACTGTGTTGAAGACCCCCAAGTGTCTAATAAGGTATTATTTGTATGTTACACCGCAAGCCCAGATGCGTGGATCTGGATTCTGGCCGTACCAGAGTCCATGCTTTCATTGGTGTCAAAATGCAAAAACCAACATTCTGGCATTTAATTGCAACTTGAAAGGAATACTAACTGCCACCACTTACTAAGTGCCTATTGTGGGCCAGGCTCTGAATGAGGTGCTTCATAGACATTATCCTAAATCCTCCCAACTGATGAGGTAAGGGTTTTAATTCCTATTTTATAGAACTTAGTGGGTTTAAGTGACATGCCTAGAGCAGTAGACTAGTGAGTCTTCGAGACAGTCTGGGTCCCAGGTCCCGCTGTGCTTTTCCTGCTAAGCCACACAAACTTCCATTTTAAAAACACTTTCAAAACCCAAATATACTCTTATTTGCTCTAGGCTACCACAAACTTTAATAATAAAATCTGATTTGTAAATGACTCAATAGTTCTTGACCCTCTGTCTTAGCTGTGAATCCAATCAAATATTCTCCTATGGAAATTTTGCCAGTATAGTATTTGGTCTAGCGACAGATTTTTATGGGTACTTTTAGATGATCTAAAACAGCATATGCATATATTTTTCAGATTGTTTTTTATTTTAGGGAAATGAAGGTTTCTACAACATATTGTTTCAGTGTTAACATGAAATAAAGTGAAGGAATCAATGTTGCATTGAACTACTTTCTTCCTGGTGGGTTAATGTGAAAGAGATGGGTTAGCTGACTCCCAGAGCTCTCCCAGCCCCCAAGCAATCTCCAGTGCCTGGCTGTTGTTCAGACATTCCACGGTGACTCCTGGGAGGGAAGCTCAGCCGCTCAGCCTCAGTGTCTGGGGGCGATGGTGGACCTGGAGGGCATCAGGTGTTCCCTAGTGACATCCTTGACTGTTCTGTACACCAACATTGCTATCAAGTTTTTTACCAGATATTTGACAGGATGGTATGGAATCTAAAGCCAAATCTTAGTTATAAATTATTACATATGGTTAAATAATTGCATGTTAATTTATTTTAATGTACATATTTTTATGTTACTGTTCTGAGCCAAATTCTGAAGAAAAAAATAAATACATTTCCTTGTTGAAATCCTAACACTGTTGTATTTTGTTATTAATTCACTAGTTAAAAGCATTCCTTTTCCCAGAAGAGATTTAAAGTTGCTGCATCGCTTTAGAAAACTTCCTTAAGGCATCGAATATCATTGCCTTAACAAAAAACGTCTATTAATAGGAAGCATTGTTATGTAACGTTTAAAATTTGACAGAAAGCTGCATGTGGCAGTGTGTGCCTGTAGTCCCAGCTACTTGGGAGGCTGAGGCAAGAGGATCTCTTGAGCCCAGGAGATGGAGGCTGCAGTGATCGTGCCACTGTACTCCAACCTGGACAACACCAGGGCAAGTGCCCATCTCTTAAAAAAGAAAAAAAGACACATAAAAAGGCAAAGTGGGGCCAGGCGTGGTTGGCTTATGCCTATAATCCCAGCACTTTGGGAGACTGAGGCAAGAGGATTGCTTGAGCCCAGGAGTGCAAGACCAGCCTAGGCAAAATAATGAGACCTTATCTCTACAAAGCGTCAAAAAATTAGCTGGGCATGGTGGCACGCACCTGTAGTCCCAGCTATTCAGGAAGCTGAGGTGGAAGGATTGCCTGAGCCCAGGAGATTGAGCTTGCACTCCAGCCTGAGTGACAGAATGAGACCTCAGTTCAAAAAAAAAAAAGAAATGTCAAAGTGGCCCCATGAAAGAGGTTTGAATCTAGCTAAATGCTGAGCACTGACTGAATCCTTGGACCAGCTCCCTCCTCTTATGAAGCCCAGTGTGGAAAACACCGGCATTAGGAATAATCCCAAATTACCACCGCTGTGTAACATACCACCGCAAAACTCGAGTGTTTTTTAATCTCATGGTTTCTGTGGGCCAGGAATGTGGGAAAGGCTCAATTTGGCATTTCTAGCTCAGCGAGATGGCCAGGAAGCTCTCTTGCTGCATGTGGTCACAGGGTCTCTCAGGGGGTCTCTGTGTGGCTTCAGGGTGGTAGAGCTTTTTAAATAGTAGTAGCTCAGGGCTACCACCTAGTGTATTCAAACAAACCAGCCATAAGCTGCCTTTTATGACCTAGTCTTGGAAGTTATACAGCCTCACTTTTGTCATAGTATCTGGTCACTTCTCAATTTAGAGAACATCAAAAGATTTTGTTGACATTTCAAAACTACCACCTCCCCCACCCCACCCCAAGAAATCCGTCTGGTGTGGGAAACAAGACTGGTCCAGACAGTAGCACCAAGACAATACGAAAAAGTAAGCCACCTCAGGCAGAGTGCCACAGAAGCTCAAGGGAGTGAACAGTCAGGGAGCAGTGGAAGGTGCCATGGAGGTGGCCTTTCAACTAGGTGGCTTTGTTTTTTTTTTTTAGTTGGGGTCTCACCCTGTCACCCAGGCTGGAATGCAGTAGCACAATCACAGCTCACCGGAGCCTCAACCTCCTGGACTCAGGTGATCCTTCTGCCTCAGCTTCCCGAGTAGCTGAGACTACAGGTATGTGCTACCACACTCACCTAAATTTTTGATGTTTTGTAGAGATGAGGTCTCACTATGTTGCCCATGCTGGTCTCAAGCTCCTGGGCTCAAGCAATCCTTTCGCCCTGGCCTCCCAAAGTGTTGGGATTACAGGCATGAACCACCATGTTCAGCCTGAACTAGTTCTTAAATGGATTTTGACGTTCTGAATAGCATTAGCAGGTCCCAGAAAGTAACAAAAGGTCTGTGAACAACAGTGAATGACTGCCTGACAGCAATTAGAGATGGCTTAAAGAGGAATGAGCAGAGGCCAGAAATGTGGGTGAGATCAAGGAGAGCCTAAGTTTGGAAAGGGGGAGATAAAAGTAGTGGAAGCTTCTCTCCCATCCAAATGTAGTTAGCATGGGAGAGAGTAGACTGTCCTTCTTGGCAATGGCAAGACCTAACCCCCATCCCGAGCATGGCGTTACAGTAGTTTATCTCTGATTTATAGTAGGAGATGATTATAAGCAAACTACTGAAATATAGTTTCATAATTGCTTGCAATATCACCTAAGACGTGTCAGATACTAGGCCAGGTTCTGAGGGCAGAAAATGAATGTATTGGTATCTGAATGGAGCAGAGTCTCTCCTGGAAGCACCTGTCATGTAGATCAGTATGGCCCAATCATGAAAATGTTCTATATAATCTGCACTGTCCAGTTCAGTTGCCGCCTAACCACATGTGGTTGTTGAGCATGTAAAATGTGCCTGGGGCTAGAAATGTCTATTTAATCCTAATTTAAATAGCCACATGTGCCTGGTGAATACTGTACTGGACAGCGCAGGTCTAGATGAAGGATTTCATAACAGAAACATGAATCAGGTGCTTCAGAAGCCTCGCCATGTACTACAGGCATCAGGGGTAATGGGCCGAACCGCACTCAAGCCATGCTGACTCAGGTTTACTGGCTGAATCCAAAGGAATCAAGGTCTCTCAGCTGTCTACGTGCCCCAGACAGACTCCTGTTCAAAGGCCCTAAACTCAGGGACGTAACAAATGAGCCCATCTGGGAGAAAATGTCCAGGTTGGTGAGATGACTGACAGGCACGTCTTCGGTAGGTAAAGAGGGCTAACTTTTAGCCACGGAACTCTCCTTTCAAATGAACATTTGCACAGGATCCTACTCCAGAAAACAGGAAGGGGGAGCCATCTTAGATCGAGGCGGGCTGGGCACCCAAAAGCTGTGCCTCCTCAGGTGACAAAAGGAAACTCTTCAACCCTTCAGGCCTCACTCCAAACTGCAGCACAGGCTGAGGTCATTAAAGACGCTTCACGTGGATTGTTTAAAACAGAAATTTATTCTCAGAATAATGCACGAAGCACAGGTTGAGGCTACTGCTGGGAGGCTTCCCTCCCTCCCTCTTCCTCCTCCCCCTCCTCTGAATGCCAGGGAGAACACAGTTGAAGGAAACATGCAATCACAAACAATGATCAACTCTAAAGACAAAAGGTTTGGTCCAAAAGAACTCAACATAATTAATCCAATTACTGTGAACAGCTTCACTGAGTAGGATTAAGATATTGCGGATGTAGTGTTTCCACTGGGTGGCTCTTCAGTGCACCAGCGGGGCCTGCTTGAGGGAGATGAGGACTGAGCGCATGCGGGACACATCTTTGGCCTGCTTGCTGGACTTGGGGTTAAAGTCACACAGCCGGGCCACCCGCTCCCACTCAGTGCCTGGGGACGACTCGTCAATGTCACTTACAAAGGCTTCTTCTGCTGCCCTGAAAGCAACGACAAAGTATGTTGGTTTAATGTTGAACCCTTTGAGCAACCTGGCGGCTGCCTTGCTACAAGCAACTGCCTCTTCGCCCCTGACTTCACGGCCTCTGGTTTTCTCAAGAGGAACAGCCCCTGGCCCAGGTCGGACTCGGGCAGACATGTGGCTGGCTCTCCTAGGCACAGGGTGCCCAGACTGCTGTGTAAAATGTTGGAATACAGGTGTTTGGTTCAGGGCTCACTCTGTCTCTCTGTCTGGCTGTCTCTGCTCCTCTGGAGCATGAGAAAAGCAAGTCCTCAGCCAGCTTCGCACTGCAAATTATCAAGAGCAAAGCAGCAGGCTAGTCAAGAACCTGAGAAGTGGTTTGTGCTGAGCCGTACTGAGTTTTCAGGAAATTTAGAGACTTCTAAAAAGCCTACAGGCCATTGTACACGAGCCTCTAGATGTATTCCTAAGGCTGGAGAGAAACAGGGCAGATCCAAAGGAATTCAAGACAAAGCTCCCATGCTAGCAGGCACTAGAGACTAAAGCCATTCTGGAAGGGGGTTCGTTAGGACATTCTCCAGTTCAGCCAAAAGTTTGCCTTTTCCCTCCAGCCACGTGCCCTAGGGCCATTCCGGGCACACTGGCAGGAGAGCCAACTTTAGTTGCTTCTTGGCAGGATGCTGCTCCAACATTCTCTCACATCAAGAGCAGCCCACCCCAGGGGGAAACTGACTGGTGGGAGCTACAGCCGGAAAGGACAGCGATAAGACACACTATATCATCTACTCCGACAAGCATCACGGGCAAAGCAAAAGCAATGGAGATGGCTGGTCTGTGGGGACGGAGGGTGGCACTGTCACAGGGATGGCCGTGGCGAACATCGCTGAAGCCCAGAGCCACTACAACACTGCGACTTCATGGCACACACAGTTAGGGGCAGTGAGAAAGGTTTACTTAACTGTTCTAGGCTGTAGCAAGGATGGTTTATGTTTGTGCTTAAAGGTGAAGAGAAGAAAAGAAACAAGGAGAGAAACTTTAGGTCAGATCTAGAAAATGAGAATGAGCTCAATGCAGATGGTCAGTAAGCTAGACATGCCCTTGCCACTCTATCTGTGCTTGGGAACGTGCAGCTGGCTTTGCTGGCCACCCTGCTGTCCAGCAAAACCAGACTCGACCTTTCCAGTCTCCATTTCTACTCCAGAGAGAATGTGCAGAAATCAAATTAAACACCACCTGTAAGTCCAGCATTTCACAAGTCTCACTGCAAGCGCATCCGGGGGCCCAGGAAACCCAGTTCTGTTTTCTAACAGAATGAACACCTTAAGGTCATGGGCTCTGAGAGGCTCACAGACCTCAGCCCATCACCACCATCCACAGGTTCCTCTCCTTCGCTCCACCCTTACTTCCCTTATTAAAAAAGCCAGCCCTGATTTTTTTTAAGGCGGAAACAATGAGAACTGTTCCCAAGCCTTTGACAATACTGCTTTGATAACAGGTATCCTTACAAAAAAAAGGCAAGCCGGGTTCGGTGGCTCAGCCTGTAATCCTGCGCCTTTGGGAGGCTGAGATGAGTGGACTGCCTGAGCCCACAGGTTCGAGACCCGCCTGGGCAGTGAGACCTCATCTCTATAATAAATCAAAAACTCAGCTGGGTGTGGT